GAAGGGCCGTCCGCTGGTTTTGCCCCGGAGAAGTGGAGCAGACTGCTCTTCTCAGGCCGCTGGTTCTCGGCGCACGTGTTGCTTCACGAAAACAGGATTATTTGTGAAGCGACAGGAGCAGCATCGGGATCTTATCACGCAGCTCGGTGTGTACCACAGACCAAATTAATCTTGCCTAGGCAGGGGTTTATCTTTTGTTGTCCTCTTCTGCTATGTGACAACATGGCGCTTCTGGAAGATAAATTCCAAGGTGAAGGCCAAGTTGTTTATTTGAGAAATAACTTGCATTAAAAATTACAGTGAGCTTGTTTTGAACAGCTGTGTCCTGTGGATGTGCCTCGGATCTCAGAACACCCGGGTAGGTTAACGTAGCTGAATGTCTGGGCCCATTCAGACGCTCAGGGGCCCATTCCCCTTCTGCGTAACGGGGACCGTAAGGTTTGTGACCTATGCGAGCATTTCCCCTGCCACCCCAAGGTGTTGCCCATGAAAAATGGTGGTATCTGTCAATCTGAATGAGAACCACTAAATGAAGGACTGAGATTTTATGCGTTCTCATTTGGGTTTTTTTTTTTCTCTACTAGTCACAAGGGGAAATGCAAGAAATTCCATGCTGGGTGAATTTAAGAAATAGTGGTAGCATAGTAGCTGCTGGGTAGCTCATCTTGCTGTCAGGCAGGGCTGTAGTTCCATTTGAGAACAGACTGTGTTGTTTTCTGAATAATTTTTTTCAGCCATTGAGTTAACAAAAGTTAACATGCAAAACTTAAAATGTTCTGAGCATGTGGACGCTTTCCTTTCAGTGCCTGAGGGTTTTACAGCACTCCCCAGCACCTGTATGAATTCCACTTTCATCAGAGCAGTAGATCTGTGTGTATCACAAATAGCAAGTTACGCTTGGCGGTAAAATACAAATATTCGGCTCTGCTACAACCACAGTTGCTTTCCAGGGTTGCATTATCACAAGTGAGCTGTGCGAGTTGCATGCTTGCTGTTTGACATCTGTAGACCCGCTCAGCCGCTTCATAGTTACAGCCAGGTCACACAGTAGCACGTGTGTGTTTTGGAAGCTTCCCTTCGTGCAGGAGGAGCCTTGGGCTGTACAACGGAGGAGCCTTAGGCTGTACAGCATCTGCTTGTCGTTCCTGGCTGGAAATGGCCACAGGACTGAAATGCGATCAGGTCACTGAAGCGTGCTTCCAAACAAGGCAAAATCAATTTGCTGATCTTCTTGACCCAAGTCTGTAAATACAGAAGATTGATCAGGATGATGATGGACTTGCGGTCTAGTCTGGGAGACTGAGTAAGAAAAACGTCTGTCGGCCTTGCCCAGTGCAGTGTGCACATGTTCATGCATGCGGAACACGCCGGGGAACGGCTGCCCGAGTAAGACGTGTTGGTGGCAAATAAAGTTTTTAGTCGAATTGGTTTTGCAGTTGACCATCATTAAAGATAATGATTGTTTTTCTCTGTCAACTTGCAGAGAAAAATAATGTTTATTTTAAGAAGGAGGTGTGCATGCATGATAAATAGAATATATGAGTAAAAAGTGCAAGTTCTGTGTGGTCTCTGCATTCACTGGGGGATGAAACCAGTTGAATCATATGTGTACGCCAGTTGAATCATATGTATACATTTTGTAGTATGGTACTATAAATGGAGGAGATGGAGGATATCTTGCTCTTAGCACTAAGCCAGATGAATAATTCTTTTGAAGGTCTGGAATATCAATGATCCAATTGAAAATGTGTCAGCTGAGATGAGTCATGTGTTAGCCTCAATCAGTGACTAAGACATGGAACAGCCGTTGATGTCCAAGCTGCGTCACAGCTTCTGCATATTTCCTCAAATAATTTTTGATTGATAATGATGGAGCAGTTGAAATTGCTGCATTTGTAATTTGCAGGCTGCAAAACACTGGTATACGTATTTAAAAATTAGAGAAGTAGCCAGAATAAACCGAAGCAGTATTTCAGATAGGGTATGTGAATGAGGAACGGTGTCCTGTAATTACCTCCCTTTATTTTTCTTTTCTCTGATATAATTATATTTCTTCCTTGTGCCACTATACATGTGCGTCATGAGGAATGAGGCAGAAGTGACCCTTCTGACTCTGTGACTGTGAGGTAACAGCACTTTAAAAAGCTGACAGCAAATAAAAGAAATCCTAAGCATAGCAGAGTAGTGGACAGTGTATCAGTTTTGTTCTTAAAGGCAGCCTTGTTCATATACTGTTGGTGTTTCTGGATAAAAAGCCTGAGGTCTGATAATTTTAAACCTTTCCACTTTTTTTAAAGATTGTCAGGCAGTTTGCTGGCCAGAGGTAAGAGGAAGGTTTTTGAGAAGGCAAAACTCGGTGGTCCTCCTATTTGCTCTGTTCTATTTCATTAACTTCAGTAATTATTTTCAGCGGAGTTTTACATGAAATAAGACAGATCAAAAGCAGCACCTCTCCAAAGCAGAGGGTAAAGGATGGTCTGCATAATTTAGTATTTTGCAGTGGAAGGTATTGGGCATCCTTGAGTGCATGGATGGATCAAGGAGAACCAAGCTGACCGTCGCTGGTCTGCTGGTGAAAGGAGTCTAGAATTCAGCTTTCTATCCGCAGGACTTTCACACTTAGAAAATGAAAATGCAGCAAAGCTAAACCACAAGTATAGAAGATAATATTCAAGATCGTCAAAAGTGGTGTTAAGGCAAGGCATTGCAGATTTAGAAAGTCAGCTTGAAAGATACTTCCATGTTTGATAAACTCCGCCTCCAGAGATGCGCAGGTAATTCAGTCCATGCAGTTCACACCAATATCGTTGCTCTTTCATGGAAAGGTTCTTGCGGAACCCCTATCTCAATGTATTGATCTTGGTAATTCCTGTCCTTCCCTATCTCCATTTGCATCCAGCTCTTGGATTAAAACCACACAACTGCAAGAAATAGAGTGCTTTTTATCACTGGATCACCGTGCATTTACACTTCTCCCTCTGCATACGCCCTTCCTTAAAAGTTCAGGAGTCACTTTCCCTGGCTGCACACCAGAACAGGCTATGCTGGTTTCTACTGATACGGGAAATATATTGTGCTTGTTCTCTAGAATCATCACTCTTTGTGAGATGTATTTTCTTGGGATGTCCTGTGTCTACTGTAGGGTGAATGTCAGTGGAGGACTTGATAATGTTGGGTGTCTTGGTAGTTACTAAACTAGCCATTCATGTTTGGGCCTTTCAGGTTATTCGAAGGGGAGGGGGGCGGGGACAGAAATCACTAGTTTTACCATACAAGGTAATTGTGCTTTCAGGTCTGTTGATATTGGTAAGGCTAGTTCAAATTTGGCAGGTAAAATAAATCAGTTTTTCTGAAAGTGAAGAATGGGAACAAATGCATGTATGAGAGTAACAGGGATGTGACAACACATAGACATACAGGAGGTGAAAGTTGAAGTGAATGAAGAAGAAACTCTGGAAAGTGTCTAGAAATGATTAGAAAAGCTGATCAACACTATTGTGTTCCAGCTAGTAATTAAAATGATAAAAAGCTAGTAATTAAAATGATAAAATGATTTAGGTATTGCATACCTTGTGTAGTGTTTTTTCTCTCCTTATCACCCTTATTCTAGTATCAAGTCTTGTAAGTTCATTGTAATGGAGATGAAGTCCCTATTTTATTTAATATTGCTGCCTTTTCTTGAGGATAAAGACAGATGAAAGAGAAATGGAACTAAAACAGAAGTGAATTGCTGCTATTATGTTGTTAGATGCAAAACAGATTATGTGCCCTTTCAAAAACTGTCTGACAAGTTATTTCGTAAGAATGAGTGTTTCTAGGAAGAGCTGTAATAATGTATTTGTAATCTTATGTCATTCTCAAATAGCTATGGTCTTTGCCATATCTGTCTGTTTGTTGCCTGCTTGTTATGATGTCATGGTGTGTGTTCCTGCACAGGTTTCTGCAGCACAGCTCTGCCTCCAGCTGCCCTTTCTAAAAAAAAAGAATGCAGAAAAAGTTAACTTTGTAAAATGCTCACGGGGGAAAGGATGCATTCACAAGGCCATCACTGAAGTTAACGTGCACAGGCAGTGGTTGCCACCGCATATGTTGTGGGGTTTTTGGTTTTTTTTTATTTTTTTTTTTTCTTCCCCTCAAATGATGACTGTCTTGTAGGTATTTTGTTGTTTGGAATTTCTCTTTCATTACCGACATTACCGTGACAATGTAGGAGGTGGTCTTAGCCACTGGATAAGAAGTGGCCTTTCCAAAATCGTTTCAAAGCTCCCAACTTAATTGTGCCAAACCCTTCCTAACATTCCGTATGGTTAATGGTACGAGCTTTGAGTATTAGCATATTGGGGGTTTTAAATTTATTTCTTTTAATTTTGTTTTTTTCTCCTGAGTTTGTTAAGCTAGATTGTCAAAGCCATGTTTTTAAAAAACAAGACATAATCTTGCCTTTACAGAGCTAAAAATTGTGGATTTAGGTTGGTCTTAAGCCCTCCACCACAATTACAAATACTTATGTTTGGTGGAATTTCCTGCCCCCATCCCCAGTGACCTACATCTCATGAATGCTGTCTTGTCTTCCTGCTTGTGCTGTGTCTGCTCAGTCTTTTTGTTTGTTGGGTCTGTTCAATCTGTTTGTGTCTTGATTAGTATCTGACTAAAGCTCCATCCTATAAATACTTGTGCACATCAGTAATTTTATGTATCCAAGTGGTTGCTGGTATCATATGCGTGAGTAGGACTGGCTGTGCGCATAGCTTCATTGAGTTGGGGGAGTTAGTATGCAGCAATTTCAGCCAGCAATAAATACAGGGTTGTGTTTTGGAACAATGGATTAATGCTGAAGCATATTTTAGCTGGCTAGGAGTTTTAGAAGTCTTAACAATGTATGGCATTTGTGCCAGGAATCAGTATATGCACGTAGTAGATCAGTGGTGTATTTTTTGATTTTTTTTTGTGGCTGTATAGAAACCTGCAAAATTTTACTTAATAAAATTGGATAGCATAGAAAAGACAAAGCGTAGATGCTTCTAGATTTCTGCAAAACGGAGACTACAGGGTAAGACCTGTATTTTTTCTGAGCAGTAACCCTGAGTGCTCCAAAGACCTAAATAACCTTTGCAAAACTGTACAGAAGTGGTCTAGGAGGAACAGTTTTAAAACAGCCTATCTGATACTTGACAAGTTCATGTCAAGGTTTAGAGATGAACACAGGACTCATTCCTGGAGTCACATCAGCAGTTAGGACAGTTACATAAGGTTGCTCTGGGCCCAAAACGTCTATAATATGTGAGATTTGGGGATATGGTCTTAAATTGAACTGGGTTTACTTGCCAGCTCGTAATGCATTCATAGAAATCACAATGTTTTGCTGTATTGAATTTTTAAATGCCCTTTGTGAATTTCTGTGTGTGACCCCTAAACAGTCTTGCAGGCTTTGGGGCTAATGAAAGCTGTGGTTGCCTTGCATGTGTACCCTTCGGCCCGAGGCCTGTGCAGCGTGGTGTAGAGTCTGTCTGTTCCACGCATGAAGAATATGAATGTCTGCTGGGTCCCTCTTACGCTGTGGCAACCAGCTTTTTAATGCTGCCCTGAAATTTTCTGGCTTTGATCTATAGTAATAGTCTTGATTGAACTTTTTCCTGTGTTTTACAGTGGTTTGAACTTTATTGATTTGATGGTGCGACAGGGGAATATCGACAGCCCTCCTAAGACACCACTTGTTCCTGGGTTTGAATGCTCTGGAATTGTAGAAGCTCTTGGAGATAGCGTGAAAGGATTTGAGGTAATATTTTCTTTATTTTCAGAGCAAGACTAATCACTGTTTCACTAAGTATGTTGTCCCTAATCCCTTCTGGTCTCCCAGCGACAGCAGCCTTTACCACCCTGTTGAGATCTGAAAGGGCAGTTTTTCCTTGCTGCATCCCAAGCATGTGAATGGCCTTTTGAATTAGTTTGTAAAGCCACCACTGCCATCTCCTTCAAATCCGTCCTGAAAAGTCACTTGTGCCTTGTGCGTATCCTGATGGCTAAACAGGAACTGGAAAGGTGCTTTTAAGAAAGTAAAAGAAGTTGAGGTAACTTGTGAAGTTTCTTTTCTTTGCCATGTTTGCTATCATTGTTGCTCTGTTTCTCAAAACCCATGCACTGCTGATCCTAGTTCCATCTTCTGATGTTGAGTTAATGAGACTCCCATCTACAGTAAGCTTTGCTTCTCACAGCTATGATGCAGATAAAATTGAGACCCTGATTCTGGATATATGACTTATTCTGGTCACTCAGGAAAAGCATCTATGTCACATAACAGAATAATGATAAATAGTTAATATATATAATAAAGTTTTCATAACTGGTTAGCTTTATGTACTCTTTGGTATCTCTCATTACCTATAAACAGCATTCTGTCCTACATTCTATTCCATTACTGATGTTAAACATATATATTTCCTCCAATCTTGCACTTTATTTCCTAAGTAGATAGAAAAATTTTGAAATAAAAACTGAGTTAATGCACGTCAATCCTATCTTAGCTCTTTGCTGAGTCAGATGTGTCATGAAGTAGTTGCATTTTCTGAATTCTTATTGTATCTTGGCCTTAAGAAGGAAATTACCTAAAATATTTATGTTTAAAGGTAACATTTTTGCTGTTCTAGAAGAGCTGTAAAACTTCTCAGTTGAGTCAAGATAATGGCCAATTTAGTTTCTAGCAGGGTCTCAGCAATGAGCTCTTCTTAGGACACTTCTCTAGTTTTTTCAGTTTTAAAGTTACGCTCTGTATCGAAGAATATTCTATGAAAGGAGTATAGAAAGTCTCTGCCCTAGATCAGCATTCTCAGTTTAAAAGTTCTTGCTATTTTTAAAGGCATCATGAGGCTAAAGCATGTGGTGCTTGTTTGAGTAGCGTTGCACCTGACTGAATATGCTGGGTCTCTTAAAGTTTTATCTTTGTTCTGTCTATAGAACATGTTTGTGGTCAGTGTACTCACTGAAACTGAAAAAGCTGTGTGGGGTTTTTTTTAATATATAATCTGCATAGCAGATTAAATATATATTTATATTAAACATGGTAGTGTTTGAGTGATCTAGAAGAAGGGGCGACACTCAGAATAACTGCTGTGCACAGGTGTGAACCCATCGGCAGGAGAACCTACCGTGAGGAAGATGCAAGGACGTTCTGTCCATTCCTTTATGGATTTCTTGCACAGAGTAGGAGCATGCCGAATGCTTGTTGTGTCCTTGATGTACGCTGTTACTGCTGTCCATGGCAAAGATTGCACCCTACATCTTCTGACCTGCTTTCCCTTTGTAGATCTCTTCAAGTATGTTAAAGTCGTGGGCATTTCATGCTCTGGAAAAATGTGTCTTACTGGCCCTTAGTCTGTACTACCTGAGATACTATGACAGAGATATTGCCAGCCATTTATTGTCTTCGTTTGCTGTCATTGTGTTACTGTATGACAAATGACAGCATTGAACAGCAGTCCATTTTGACAGCAGTGTGTAAGGACATATTTTGCATTGAAAGATAGCCCTTTTATGGAATAATGGTGTAATGCCTATTCCTTCTCCCATTAAAAGAGAAAGCTGATTTCTGCTGAGCTCAGATGCATCAGGCCTCATCTCTCTCTAGTTGTGGAGACGATTCTCAGGTGCTAAGGCCTAATCTGATATGATGACTAGGCTCTGTATAGTGTTTGTGGTAAAATATGGTATTACTAAGAAATCCCTTGGGAATCACCAAGAGGGACTTCTCTGCATTGTTCTTGGTAGTCATTTATGTTTGTTTGCAAGGATATAGGACATATTAATATCTTCACTAATTAATCCTAGCAGACTTTACATTTTAGACTCTTCTCTAACAGCAAAAGGGAACCACAGAGTGGTTACCAGTGCGGCATTGTGAATTTGAATGTGTTTTTCAAAAGGAGGAGGCATTTTGGTGAAATTGGAATGACAGTTCTGTTTCAGCATCCTCAAACCCTTCAGAACTGTCAGCAGCACCTTAGCTTTTAGCAAACCCGCAATATCCCAAAGCCAAAGTGATGACAAGTACTTGGGAGACCAAAATGTGCTTGTGCTATAAATGTTTGCCGAAATGTTAAAGTGTTGTGCATTACTCCATTGCTTTGGAATATAGTTGAAATAGTCCAAGAACAACATGTGGTATTTCTAAAGCATTAGTAGATATTAGTAGTATGTAAGATAGAATATGTGCGGCAGATAAGCAAAGGTTTTTCAGAGGGACAGCTGCTGTTAGTTCTGGTTAAAACATGACAACTTGAAGTTTGATGCTGTTCCTGCCTTACTACTTAGACTGTGGCTCCATTGAAGAACTCCTTTCATGGCTAGGGATGCCGGTTTTGTTGGTGTATTAGGCAAAGAGGTCTAAGAGAAGGTAAAAGATGCGTGGGGGCTGCGAGTGACAAGCCATTATTGAGAGTTTGTGAGAGACGTGCCTATGAAGGTTTTAATATGTATTGGCCAAATGTTTGCTCACTGCAGCTCTCCCTAGTAGCCCCAGCAGACCAAGTTCTAGTTTTACACGAGAGTTGCTTTCCTTGTCTGGTTGTATCCCTGCAGGAGCCTCAAAGTTCCCGTTGCCTTGTTATAATTCTTGTCCATCTGTGGGGAGTCGCTATCTCCATTTCAAAAACATGAAGCTACACTGAGGGCCATTATACAAACGTATGAATTTGATGTGCCTGGACCTCTGAAAGGTTCCTAGGAGCAACCGACTCTATCTAATATTAACATCAAATCTTTATTTCTCCGTGGTGAAATACCTTTTTGCTACTATATATTTTCCAAAGAAATTGAGTAGAGAAATGTTGCATTCGAAGAGAATATTTCGTTGCTCGTTTAAATCCTGTCAAAGTCACTTTGCAGGCTTAGTAGTGCCTCAGAATCCAGAGGTATATTTTTGATGTTTAAGGTGGCTTATTTGAAGTTCTGGGATCAAATTCTGCTCGGACACATGACTGTAGAAATGACAATCATGGAAATGTTTTGGCAGAATCAGTTACGAAGATAATAAAAATAGAGGGTGGGTACAGATGGTGTTATCTTCTAATGAGCGCTTTCCAAACCTGTTCATGTGTGCTGTCTACCAGAGTACAAGGCCTCCCTTTCTCAGTCCACAGAGGGGAAAAGTAGCTCTAAATTAGTGTGAAGACCAGGAAAGCAAAGTGAAAATTATGTGTAATTTTGTTTATTCTGTGCATCTCATCAATATGATTATAATATTTTTTTCCTTTTTTTCTTTTTTTCTGTAAGCAAATTTCCTGGTTATTGGCAAGAATGCTGTTTTCATTGTTAATGGCCCTATTTGTTATTTAGGAGCTGTGCTAGCAGCGAAAGATGATCTGTATTAACGCTAATGAAGACTACTCCATCAGAGCAGCAGTGTGGCACAAAAGAAGAGATCTCTTAAATTTTGGTTGGATATTTTTCTTAAATTCAACTTTTTAAATAAATGCAATTAAAAAATGGTAAAAGCCTAAAGCTGAACAGCTTAACTGCTGTTTTGCCAAAGATGTGGAGCGTGATGATCTTCAGTCACTCAGTGACCCACAGCTTGAACAGGAGAGTTACGGGTCTTACAGGCTGCTCTCTGCAGTCTCAGTTGCAGTCACATCCTCAATGCTGTTTTTTTTTTTTTCTTGTTTGTAGATTGGAGACAGAGTCATGGCTTTTGTAAACTACAATGCATGGGCTGAAGTAGTATGTACCCCGGTAGAATTTGTCTACAAGATCCCAGATGACATGAGTTTTTCTGAAGCTGCTGCGTTTCCCATGAACTTTGTAACTGCCTACATGATGCTCTTTGAAGTTGCTAACCTAAGAGAAGGCATGTCTGTGCTGGTTCACTCGGCAGGAGGTGGGGTGGTAAGTTGGAACTTCTCTTACTTTCCTGTCCCCAAGTAACTGAAGCAGTCTGATGCACCTCAGTTTCTGAAACGTGCCAGACCCTGCAGTTTGATTCAGTATCAGACTTCCCTATGTGGGGGATTGCAGTGGGAGGAACTGCATCTGCTTTCCCATCAAAATGCTAATATGGATGGTTGGCAGGAACTTTTGGTGAAATAAAAATGTTCTGACAATAAACTCTACCCAAAAACCCCTCCAAAACCCTGTAAATGGTTGTCAGATCAAGGAGCAAGGGTTGTCCCAAACATTGCATTCCTGAACATATGCACCTTGTACTACTTCTGTGTAAAAGAAGGCTGTAATGAAAGGAATAAATCATAGAATCATAGAATGGTTTGGGTGGGAAGGGACCTTATAGACCATCCAGTTCCACCCCCCCTGCCATGGGCAGGGACCCCTTCAACCTGGCCTTGAGCACTTCAGGGAGGGGGCGTGTAAATCAATGCCCTGCATGAGGTGTTTGCAGGGAACCATAATCCTTGCAGGAAATGGCCCTCCAGGAATACTCCTGCAAATACCATGTGTGAGTGTGTGTGGTGCTTTCTCTGTGAAAGACTTTCACTCCCCACCCCCCCACCTTTCTTGTAGAGGGTTTGAAAGCAACAAAAAGCATTATCGTGCCGACCCTGAGGAAAATACACAAATGCTGAATTGGAGTCAGCGGTGGCTGCTGCGTTTCATAGTTTGGATCGTTAGTTAGGAGGCATTGTGTTGCATGGGCAAAGCAACAGGAGGATGAATTCAGTGGAACACCAGGCCACACAATGGAATAAAAAGTCAGCATTTTGTGTTGCCAGTTCCTTGAACTATCTTTTAGGAAAATGTCTCTCCTTAGGAAAAGATTTAAGCTTGTGCAAAATATTAAGGTACTGACAGAGGAGTTTGTTTACATTTGAAATTACGCAATCCTTTTCCGTAAGACAGATTTTACAACTGAAGAACATTAGCAGATCACAGCCTTTCAAATTGGAGTATCTCTTCTGTTTTCCTGTTATGCCTTAGTTATGCCAAATTAATATTCTGTTGTCTACTGAGGTCTGGTGAGCAGCCCCAAACACCTTATCCCTAATTCTGTGCCCTTAGACCTGCTTTCAGGTTCTCATACAAAAGAAGTCTGTAATCAAAGGAATAAATTCATGAGTTCCCTCTACAAAGTATTTTTAGCTAACGATAATCCTACTTGTAGTAAATGGTCCTCTTGGAATACTTGTGTAAATGAATGGAATTTATAATCGTATTATGCTTTGGCACAGTACAACCGAGAGGGTTATGGCTGACTTTATTGTTCTTTAATATTAAATCTTTTCATGTGGAATTTAGGACTGTAAAGCAACATGAGGCCACACATACAGGGGGATTGTATATTCTACAGGAGTCAAAGTCTCAGCTTTAGCTGTGAGGCCATTTGCCCAGCTGACACTATACAGACCCAGGCTGAGCATCCAGAATTAGCAAAACACCCCAAGGCAATCCCCACACATACGCACATATACAGGGAAGATGAACTCCTCCTCCTTATTAAGTTAAAGTGTCCTTGCTGGATTTCTTTATTTCTTTCTCTCAGTTTCTAACCTCACTCGCTTCTGGTATTTCTTGCTTCTCTTTCTGAAGCAGTGTTAATGTTCTACCAACTCTCATGTAGTCATCTTCACTAGTGCCTGGCCTCTCTGCTGGGCTGTTCCTGTAAGGAGCTGCTGGCTTCCCCTCTTATCGCAGATGCTCAGCGAGCAGCCTTTGGCTGGTCCTCTGGGTGGCTGCTTGTGGACCTTCACTGAGAGAAGCTGCAGGTCCTGATTGGCTGCCAGGAGAACAAGGAGAAACCAGATCCATCACCTGCCGAGCAGTTAAATAAAACAGTTTCCAGGGGAAAGGCCAGAGATGCAGGAAGAGCAGCCAAGTTGGCCAATAACCGATGGAGGCCTGTGTACGATCCAGGGGGGCCATGCATGAGAGGGAGATGGGGCTGGCTGGCTGCAAGGCAGGATGCTGATCACTGTGCCGCAGAGAAGTGCCTCATGCAGCCTCGTGTGCCTTGTAAGGGAAGAGCGTGTGTAGCTAGAATTGGGAGGGAAAGACTTTTCCTATTGCTTGATAGGTCTTGCAGGTAAAATACCACTCTGGAGATGCATGGAATTTTTTCTGTTCTGCTAACTAGGCAACAAGATTTCGGAGGGGTCTGTGTTACTCTTTCAGCTGCTCTAGTAACCTGTCTGTTAATTCTTTGAAAAATTTATCAGCCTCAGTTGAACAAATCATTCTCACAAAGTTCTTACTTGATAAAGTGGAAAACTGGCACTGAAATTGCTATGGGAAGAGGTATTTTTTTGTGCTGTCACTTTAATAGATAGAAGGCCCATTCCCACTTTCAGCAAGTGGGAAACCTGTCCAGTGTGTTTCTAAATGTCATAGACATTCCAGGACACTTTAATGAGACAATAGGCTCCCTGTGAGACGAGAAGTTTGTAATTGTTCCCTTCTCATTATGCAAGATCATTATTTTAGCTGCTTCAGGCAGTTTATGAAAAAGAACTTGTTGCATCAAAAATATTTGTGAGGTCCTTTGTTCTGGCTCCCCAGTCCCTTGAAGGAGGATCTGGCAGCTGTTTTGATAAATCAAGTCTGGCAAAATTCTCTGGGACCTTTACTTATGTATTGTCTCAGTTTATTTATGTAGCCTTATTGTTGTTTATAGATATTTTTAGTAATGAAGTAACTATAGCAGTTGTCTTCCCATCTGTGCCTGGGGTGTGATTAGTATGTGATAGTGGCCTTTGATGTCTGACAGGATGCTTTAGATAAGTCAGTTTACATATATTCAGAAGTTCCTGGGGACATCAGAAGAT